AAAAAAAAAAAAAAAAAAAAAAAAAGGAAACGAACTTACGACTATCAAACTAGAAGCTTCGCTCTTCAAAATGAGGTCAAATGGATCCCCATCGCGATCTACTTTTTACAAAATTATATCAGCTTTCAACGATTCACAAATTTTTCATCGTCACAATTACACCTTCGCCGTAACTTTCGAATAAATATCTATACCCGCGTGAATCGATATTCATGTCCTGTTCTGAAATTAATGTCGTAAACGGGCCCGGGAATACTCGAATTCTTCGTCGGCGATCCGTCAAAAAACTCCACTCCAATGCACTTGCTCGTATCGACGCGTCGTATATCCAGGCGTATCGCTTAACCTCGTGGGAGCTAAATCGAGACAGCCTCTGAAAAAGAGGCAAAATGGAGAGAAAAACCGAGAGAGAGAGAGAGAGAGAGAGAGAGACAGACAGATTAAACAACCTTCAACTTTCTTTTTTTTCTTTTTTTCTTTTTTCATTCGCCGACGCAGCGCATTCGTCTGTAAAAAACAGCATTCGCGGTGATGAATGCAGGCCTGGCCGGGGATTTTATCCCGGGGATATCCTATGATCGAACGTGAAATTGCTAGAAAATAGTACCGTCGTGTTCGACGTCGAGTTGCCGATATTTTCGCGGGGGCCTCACCTTTATGGGGGCTCTATTGGCTCCATAGATGCCCCACTGGTGACGCCTATTGTTTCTCGATAACGACGATATAATACGGAAATATCATTTGTTCGTTCACACTGGCGACCATCGGTGGCGGCCGCCGATGTCGCTCCGTCGAGCAGAACCGGGAGCGAATTATGCTGTCGCCGATTTCCATTCGACGATTTCGATCGCCGTTGCCACCCAGTGGCACAGAGTTTCCACAAACGGTCGAACCGTGAACGCTGATCGATCCTTCCCCAGACACCGTGTAAATTAGAGATGACGCGCGTTTCTCGCTCGTTCCTCAAGCAAAATCGCGTCAGTGTGTCTTGTTTTAATCCGTTGCGCTGGCAACTGATTGCGGACCATAACGAGTGACCGAACCGTACACAATAATTCGTCGCTTTCTGTTTCTTTCGAGCTCGTCGGTATGATATCACTGGATAGAAATGATCAAGAAGTAATAAACTTGTTTTGCCTGGGTTAATGTACTTGATATTGCCTGGGTTAATATACTTAATATACTTGAAACTAAGAAAATGTTGCAACTTGGGAGAAAAAAATTTTCAACGTGCGTGACACGTTCATTCCAGCGCAATAGGTTAGAGCACGGTTGTTTCCCTCGAAAATCGTGAAAATTCGAACTGAAAGATTTTTTTCCTTGACCGTATCCAGTATGACATTGAAGATTGAAATTTCCTCTTTACAACGAGCCCTTACCATTTTATTAAACTTTGAACGTTAGGATTAGTGTTCGGATTCCTTGAATTTTTACTAGTATGAATTTTATTTTATTTTATTGTATTGAATTTTTACTACCATGAATTTTATTTTATTTTATTGTATTGAATTTTTACTAGCATGAATTTTATTTTATTTTATTGTATAATTTGTCAAATTATTTTAGAATTTTATTTTTTATGAATTTTTACTAATATACAATATCTAGTAAAACGGTAGAAAAAAAAAAAAAAATCGCGCAAGAAGTTTTACGAGAAGATTTCAATTTTCAAAACGATTGTAGATCTAGTAGACGGAAAGAAACTTTCAATATTCTCACGTGTCCGAATTTTTAAAAATTTTCGAGGAAGAAAATTATCAAAGTAGAGACTTCACGCCTTAACCCGTTGCGCGGACCATAACGAGTGACCGAACCAGCGTGCAATAATTCGTCGCTTTCTCTTCCTTTCGAACTCGTCGGTACGATATCGCTGGATGGAAATTATTAAGAAGCAACAAACTCATCACTCGTTTTGCCTAGATTATACCTAAATATATTTAAAACCGAGATTTTGTTAATATTTGTAATTTTCGGGACAAAAAGTTCTCGACATGCGTGACACGTCATTCCATCGCAAGATGTTAATTGTCAGCAACAAATGTCGATTTGTTCATTTCCTCTTCCCCGCGTAAAAATTGCGTAATGCAACGCGGGGATTTTTGATCTACGACCCAGCTGTTACCGCGCAGCTTCCGTTTTTATCGGGAAACGTATTATCGGTATATAAAAGGTTCTTTTTCTTTTTTTTTTTTTTTTATCGGGGACACGTCGGTTGTGTGTATCTTGTTTTTGCCTTTTGCCGTTTGATGTATCGCGCCGTCCGAAAAGTAAAAAGAAAGGACGACGCCGCGACGCTATAAATGGAATAGCCGCGTACAAAAAACGTTAGAGTGAAGGGGAAAAAAAAAAAAAAAATGCCTCGTGAATAAAACGACCGGTGTATTAACATGTAGATTTTTATCGAACGGGACAGTTATAGGTGATCGCGTGAAACGTATTGCTTTAATACATGTCGTTGCGGCAGAGTGGATGGCATTTTGTTTCCTTTCTTTCTTTTTTCTTTTTTTTTTCTTTTTGGTTTTTTTCCTTTTCGAAACTCCAGTCGGCTTTAATGTCAGTCGGGGCAATCTCCTCTTTCGCCCGGGTACTTTAATTTCGTTGCTTTGGAAATATTTCTACCACGATACATATATACGTATATATACAGATACTATATGTATGTGTTTTCGCATAACGCGCGAACGGGGCGAAATAGAATTTTCGTTCACGAAATATTGGCTGTCTCCATTTTCGTCACTAGATAAAACGTTCCGAAGCGTCGAAATACGGTCGCGCGGAATTGTAATCGGGTTTTGTTCTCTCCCATTTCACGCGTGACGAGATTACACGTTCTCGCGCGACGAAATCTCCGGTACACAGGGATATACGTCGGCCCTATTGTAATTTAAAGAAACCTATAATTGCTCGCCCGCTACGGACACAGGTAGTCCTCAGTTAAATGTTCGCAGGTTCTGGGATCGAAAATGGACGCTTAACCTCTTGCGCTGGAATTTTTTGTCTCGAAAATTGCAATATTCCCTCGGTTTCAAGTACAGGTTTAGGTATAACCCAGGCAAAACAAATAATAAATTTATTACTTCGTAGTAATTTCTATCCAGTGATAGACCGTTGAATTCAAAAAAGAAGATGAATCATTCTACACGGGTTTGGTCACTCGTTAAGGTCCGCAATGACAATCGACTGTTTTACCGACACCAGGCATTAATATACCAATTATGATTCACGTAACTTGCACGTTCCTGAAACAACGTTTGAATTATGCGTCCAATGAAAAGTTTGTGTAAATACAAAAGTTAAAGTTTGACAAAAGTTTTTTTAGGGAAGCAAAACACGGCGTATCAATATTTCGTGTGTGTTGAGGTTAGTTTCAACATTAACCTCTTGCGCTAGTATCTGGTTTTTACGGACCATAACGAGTGACCAAACCCGTGTACAATAATTCGTCTTCTTTTTTTGAATTCATCGAATACATCACTGGATAGAAATTACTTGTTTTGCCCGGGTTAGTATTTTGATATACTTAAAACTGAGAAAATATTGCAATTTCGGGCCAAATATTCTACACGCTAATGCTCTAAGTAGTTTTCATCCTTGAAACAAATGATCGTCAAATATGTCTTTATTTAGGATGTGGCTCGATATTTTGTTACTTGGAATTTGATATTCTTTCGACTTGAAAGTGAAAATAGATATACACATCCAATTAAAAAAACAATAACGATGATCTTAAAAGTTTCGAAATCCAAAAGTCAAAGATTTAAACCCATATTTTCCCACTCTCGAAACCATGCAACTTTTGCATCAAATAATTTCTCATTAGACGCATAATTTAAAAGTTATTTTAGGTGTGCAAAGTATCGTAGAGTGGGGATAGACGCTTAACTGGGGAAAGATGCTTAAATTAATTGGAGACTACTGTACATATTTATTACACAGCGACATTTTCCCGAACCGATTCATCTTGCTGGTCCGAGGTCGAGCTTAGCTTTCAAATGGAAACTTTTCGCTAATCGAGGAGCAACTCTCGCATTCTCACCGGGAGAGAACCGCGCGTTCTGAAATTTTCGTTTCTCCAATTACGCCCGCCACACTTGCCATATATACACGCGGATCGATCATTTTACACGGTTATTGCAAAATCATGTCGTATCCGAGAGCAACGTTCCACGTGAGTTGAGCGTAATTGGTCGGGGAACTTTCGTTGTTTGCCTCCTTGGTTTCGCTCGTTCGAAGTTTTTGAGTAAGTAACCGGAAGCCGTTTCGGATGAAAAAGTTTTCGCGCGAGAGCCGCGAGAGAGGTGATTTATCCTGGGATATTCTCCAGCTCTTCGTTCGACCTCGCGTCGACTTTGGAAATACTTGGAAATTAAGAAGAACGAGAGGCATGCTCTTCTCGCGTGTCTTGCGAGATAATTATTAAAAAGTGGCGTGTGTTAGTTTAGTCAGACACGTGCGTACAGTCGGTCACAAAAATATTCGGACACCGTGTAATCTTGAATTCTAACATTTATATTTTGGATAAATGTACGACCGGCAATGAGAAAGCGTTACATAAGCGTTGAAGCATAGTATCTAGATTACACGTACAAAAAATGGTTTAATTTTTCCATATGGTTGACGAATAATGCAAGATAAACTCAACAAACAGTGCAAGTTTTTATGTCACAAAAATATACACTTTCTAAATTTCACTTATAAAGCAATGTCTAATCAACATTCAATATTTTGTTAGATATCCTTTCTGTTTAAGAACATGTTTCAGTCATCATTTGGCATATTATGAATTAGTTTTTTTGCAAGAAGTCAGTTTCGATTTTCTTCCATTCTTCTGTCAAACGATGTTTCTTTAATTCATCCCTTGTATTTATTTATTTATTTTTTTTTTGCGGATCCTAATCGAATTCATCCCATAGATTTTCCATGGAGTTCATGTCTGGGGATTGAGGAGGGGTCTCTAGCACCTTAGAACAATTATAAAGCAAGAATTCCTACACGATTCTAGCATTATGCTTTGGATCATTGTCCTGATGGAACTTAAATCTTTCTCCAATCCCCATACTTCTGACACTTTTTTCCAAATTATTTTTCAGAATGCTCAGATACATATTTTTGATTTTGGTATTTGTAGACGACATTATGGATAAAAATATCTAAACATTTTGAAAAATAATTTGGAAAAAAAGTGTCAAAAGTATGGGGATTGGAGAGGTTTTAAGTTCCATCAGGACAATGATCCAAAGCATAAAGCTAGAATCGTGCAGGAATTCTTGCTTTATAATTGTTCTAAGGTGCTAAAGACCCCTTCTCAATCCCCAGACCTAAATCCCATAGAAAATCTCTGGGATGAATTCGACTAGGATTCGCAAAAAAAACAATAAATACAAGGGATGAATTAAAACATCGTTTGACAGAAGAATGGAAGAAAATCGAAACTGACTTTCTGCAAAACTTAATTCATAATATGCCAAATGATGGCTGAAACATGTTCTTAAACAGAAAGGATATCCAACAAAGTATTGAATAGTTGATTAGACGTTGCTTTATAAGTGAAATTTAAAAAGTGTACATTTTTGTGACATAAAAACTTGCACTGTTTGTTGAGTTTATCTTGCATTATTCCTCAACCATGTGGAAAAATTAAACCATTTTTTGCACGTGCAATCCAGATACTATACTTAAACATAATGTAACGCTTTTTCGTTGCTGGTCGTACATTTATCCAAAATATAAATGTTAGAATTCAAGATTACACGGTGTCCGAATATTTTTGTGACCGACTGTACGCACGTAGCTGTTTCGTTTAGTGCTAGGTTTTATTTTTTGCTTCATACGCGTGTTACAGGACGATCGCGGCAGGACTGTTAGAACACTAAGAGAGCGATAAGTATGGGACGAATGTGTAAACGACGTAAGTTTTCTCTTGCCACGCGCGTCTAGGGCCACGATTTTACCGCAACAGGGTTTTCGTTGACAGGGAACAAAGCTCCTCAGAGTACTTACTCGAGTACGGAGAATCCAACGGCCGATCAAGGGAACGAGAAGGAGGCGCAGGAGAGACCGAGACGCAGAAAAATTATGTTGAGATACTACTTTGGTAGATTCAGATACTACCATTACTGCTTGGTCGAAAAATTGGGCACTTTGGTCGGAGTCGTGTGCCTCTCGATGATTAAAATTTATTTCGTTTTAATGAGATGGAACCAGCAATTGAACGAAATGACGAACGCGATAAACGAGTGTCGAGTAATAATATGATTGTTCTACTTTGGACACGTGGGTGGCCTCATTGATCAGGAAAACTTTGTCGAGGACCGCACATAGTTTACAAATTTTATCAGTTCAATGTAACCTGTATTATAGGTTATATATATAACCTAAATTAATAGTCAATGTAACCTAATATATAGATTATAGGTAATATATAGATATATTATAGATTATAACCTGTTTAGACTAACCCATATAATCTATATTACTGTGAGAATAATAAAACGACTTTTATAATGAAACAATAAATTTATTAGAGAAATATGTTTATATTAATTAAAAAAATATACCTGAAAATTTTTAATTCATCAGAATACTGAGATTGTTTCTTTAGATACCAGTTTGTCAATGGTTTGATACAGATAGTGACGATACGAGGAGTATATCTTTGCAAAATGATCGTCTAGAATTTTATTTTATTATATCTTTTGTGCGTTTCGTCTAGGAAAAAAATCTGCTCGCGAGTATAAGCGACATCATGAACAGCCAGTTCGATATGATTGTTCGTGGTTAAAATTATTCAAACGATAAATTTCTTATTTAGTTATTCCAATTCCGATTGTACAGCGCGGGTCCCGCGTGTTGAACGCGTCTGGTTTAGTAATACGATGTTACGCTGCGAATGTACACGTGAATTTTTGTAGAACAAATGACGCATTCTTTCAAAAATTATTTTAAAACACACGTCTCGATAGCGTTTGTCAATAGCGAAGGTAATCAATCACCGTGACTCTGTCCCGTACTTTGTATAAACGTCACTTCCAACGCTCGATGTGAAATCAATGTTATGTATTCGCAAGATATTGAAAGCGCCGATTAAACGAGACAATTTATCATTCCGGCTGCCTACGGTAATTGAAAATTCAGGGAACACCGCGAGGAATTCGTTCATGCATAATTCAACAAGTAAGACTTTGCATACGACAAAGGAGCCGACACTTTCAACAATTCCTCCCCCTCCCTCGAAAGAAATAATTAAAGTTGGAGAAGTTTCGCAGACGCGTTTGCCTTTTTCCCTTCGTCCTTGTCAAATTCTTCCTCCTCGCGCCTTGCAAACTTCGAACGTGAGAGCGATATCTCTCCGAGACAAATTATGTTTATGCTTACGTTTTACGAAACCGGTTTTTTGGAAACCGGAATTTTCCAAAGTGTGAAGAACGCTGGCGACGTGGATCAGATGGTGAAACGTGGCTGCGGAATTTAACCTCTTGCGTTGGAATGACGCGCCACGCACGTCGAGAATCTTTTTGTTTCAAAATTGTAATATTTCCCCAGTTTTAAGTATATTTAAGTAAAACAAAATAGGCAAAACAAATGACAAATTTATTACTTCTCAATAATTTCTATCCAGTGATATCATAACGACGAGTTCAAAAGAAAAAGGAAACGAGGAATTATTGTGTACGGTTCGGCCACTCGTTATGGTCCGCAATCAGTTGCCAACGCAATTGGTTAAGTAATGTCGTTTTCTGACACTGTAGAAAATTTTATTTTATTTGAAAGTTAATACAGCTTTAATCTGTAATATAATTTAACAATAAACACATTAAATGTCAATGCATTTAACTAGAATATAGGTTATATTAAGTACAACATAGGTTATGTTATAACGTATTACATATTATACATTATAGCATAACATGTTATAATAAATAAAATTATATATTTAAGTAGAACAAAATAGGCAAAACAAATAATAAATTTGTTACTTCTCAATAATTTCTATCCAAAGATATCATAACGACGAGTTCAAAAGGAAAACGACGAATTATTGTGTTACGGTTCGGTCACTCGTTACGGTCCGCAATCAGTTGTCAGCGCAATTGGTTAAAGATACCTATAAGTAATGTCGTTTTCTGACACTGTAGAAAATTTTATTTTATTTGAAAGTTAATGCAGCTTTAATCTGTCATATAATTTAACAATAAACACACTAAATGTCAATGCATTTAAATAGAATATAGGTTATATTAGGCATAACATAGGTTATGTTATAACGTATTATATATTATTACGGTACTCGTTGTGGTCCGCTATCAGTTGCCAGCGCAAGTGGTTAAGATATTCAGACACTGGTCCATCGTTGAAGATGCAGTTCAATCTTCGCGAGAATTTCTAATAGGAAATCCTTTTGAGAAATTTCTTACCTCGTTTTGTGTCGACGAAAGTCATTCTCCTTGACCAGTATTCAGGCAATTTCGAGTGATTTACACTGTCACACTTTTACGCGAGTGGACGAAAAAGAAGAAACGAGTAAAATAAATCTGGTACAATGCTCCGTGAAAATATTGTTTTTTATTTCTTCTTTTCCTGCAAATATCCCAAATTTTGTTCTCTTTTTTTCTCGAGTTTAACTTGAGAACACCGTATTCGTTCTCGACATTTCCGCAGTGTTAAAATTCTGGAGATTGTTAATTAATTTGCTGCCAATTAAACTGCACGGCTACAAGCTCGTGGTTCGTGTTAAAAGTAAGAGCTTTTGCGAAATTTCAATTTAATTTGGAACGAGGAACGAGTTTTCATCTCTTTGCACGTTGGATGTTTTTTTTTTTTCCCGAAACGTTGAAATATCGCGTTTTATTTTACTTTGCATTTTGCAAGTTGGTTCGGCACAGGATCACGATCGATGAGGACATTAAAGGTTCGTTCAAAGATTCACGTCGACGTAAATTTGTCTTTACTTCTTCGACGATTAACCTCGGGCAAAAACTGCATTCTACTTTCTTCGAAAATAGCGGTGTACAGTTGTCGCTCTCCGCCCCTTTTTCCACGTCTCTAGCACAGCGCCGATGTAAATTCATATCCATCCAATCGAGAAATCGAAATTATTCAAATCAGATCGTAGATTTGCCCTCGTTTCTGTTATTCTAAATTCAAATCGGACAGCTAAACACATTACCTCGATTATGGTTTCTCGGCTTTGACGCATCGATGGATCGGATATTCCAATTATACGTCGTTCGCCATTTCCAATTACATTTTTAAGACTATGGATTAGATCAGTTTTGACATCGGGACGTTCAAGTCTCTCTTTTTTTTCTTCATGATAATTCGCCACACGAAAGAACGAGCAGAATGCCTATTACGCAAATTATATAACACCGTGCAATAATACTAAATACCAATAAATAATATTTACTTTAAATAATATTTACTTTTTTACTTTAAATAATATTTATTTTACAATAAATAATATTTACTTTCTTACTTTAAATAATATTTACTTCATAATAAATAATATTTACTTTTTTACTTTAAATAATATTTACTTTACAATAAATAATATTTCCTTTTTTATTTTAATTTTTTAAATGTCATTTTGGTAACAAATTTCACTAATTTTTTAAAAAATTTAACAATTTTTGTCATTTTACCAAATTGAGCTGATCTTGGCAGACAGCTGGGGAAAAATGATCGCATACGCCCCACGATAAGATAAACACATTGTACATATTAACAACCACTTGCGCTGGCAACTGATTGCGGACCATAACGAGCGACCGAAATCGTATACAATAATTTCGCTTTCTTTTTGAAACTCTTCGTTATCATATGATATCACTGGACAGAAATGACTGAAAAGTGATAAATTTATCACTTGTTTCGCCGATGTATCTGGTTATACTTGAATATACTTAAAACCGAGGAAATGTTTCAATTTTGGGACAAAAAAATTCTCGTCGTGGCGCGAGAGGTTAAGATGCCAATAAAACGACGTTGCAACAAATTTTTAAAACATTCTTCGTTTTACAATGAAAATCCCAAATGGCTGGAACACTTGATAATTTCAAATATATCGTACACGCCTCGCACGGAGCGTGTGAACAGTTCGCGAGATTGTTTGGAAAAGAGGAAACGCCAGCGTGGAGAACGAAAGACGAATAGGTCGATCGAAAGGGATTCAAAATAAATATTTTTCGCGGCGAAAATGCCTGTTAAAAAAAAAAAAAAAAAAAAAAAAAGGATGGAATGTGGGGCATGAACTATGAACATTCAGCCGGCGAAGGTCCAGCAATTTTCATCACCTTCGAGGAACTGACAGAAAAAGTCGATGCCATGTCGCCGCCCGAGGAAAATACGGTGCCATCGCATTTACCTGCGCCAGAGAAACTCGAGTGGCATCTATCTGAACAAAGTCTCAGCGACATCAGGGACGCAATGATATCTTTTGACGCGTAAGTGACGATGAAAGATATTCCCAGGTGCTCGTTGGAGAAAAACATCCTTTTGGATTAATGGAAGATTTTATTTTTCCGTCACCGTTCACACACAATATGCTCTGTTTCAACCCAATTTCCTCGAAATCAAATACAATGCAATTATACCGTGCTTGATGTTTGATCGTAGGATAATATTATGTAATTTTATTTTCTCGTGAAACGTAACTTGATTAAACACCTTCGTCTCGTTTGTGTTAACAATACAGGCTAGTGGAGGATCTGGACCTCTGTATATTGTGGTTCCAAGAATACTCGAAGGACTTCATAAAATCCCACAAAATTAGCCCGGACGTTTACATACAATTGGCATTGCAATTTACACACTTTAGGTAAGCCACCATTTCTCCGCTTGCTTCTTGTTTGTTACGGACAGATAAATGAGATATAAAATTAGATTAGACAAAGTATTGATTCTAGAATCTATATCCGCTATTTTCTATTTCACCCCGTAGACGCTAGCCTTTAAAGCCTCGGGTCGTTTTATTAACATCCTGCGTGCTTATCGATTTACAAAAAAGATAATAAACTCGTCTCTCAATTTTTTTTCACGGTTGACATTTCGCGTAAATAGAATCTGCCAGTACGAGTAAAAAGATGGGGGGACGTAAAAGAAAGTTGCTCTATAAAAATATTTATCGCGAAAAGGAATCGAACTGCCATTTAGAAAGTTGAAGATGATGTCAAAATTAATATCTTGCTAATAATAATAATAATAATAATAATAATAAATATGACTAATATCTTGGTAATGATTAGACGGCAGATTGTTGTGCATTTGTGAATAATTGTAAATTTAAAAAAATATATAAAACACGATGACTAAAGTACAATATAATAATAATAGATATATATATATATAGATAATAATAATATAATAATAATATAATAATTGTAAGTTAAAAAAATATATAAAACACGATGACTAAGTACAATATAGATAATAATAATAATAGATATATATAAAATTTAATAATATATATATAAATAAATAACTTACATTTTATATATATATATATTATAATATATATATTATATAATATATATTTTATATATATATTAAATAATTTCAAAATTAATTATTTAGAAATTTAATTTTTTATAATTTATATTTTTAAATATCGTGTATTTTAATTTAAAATATTATCATTATTATGTAAAATTAGATATAGACGTAAGGTGATAGAAATTTCTATCGAGATTCTATTATTTTTGCAACTGTGCTGAAAATTAAATGATGCACAAAGATCCGTAGTCTGCTAATAACAGATGCGTTTTCGTTCGATACAGGCTGCATGGGAATTTAGTAGCAACTTACGAGAGCGCAGGCATCCGAAGATTCGCGCTAGGAAGGGTGGATTGCATCAGAGCAGCCAGTCCGGAAGTTCTTGCCTGGGCGAAGGCCATGTGCCAAGGGGACCCTGAAAGTCAGACCACGAATCAGCAGAACAGCACTCAAGACGAAGGCACCAAAAGAGTTCAGTTCACCATTTACAGTGTAACTGAAACTTGGCTGTATTTTGTAGAGTTTGTCGTTTTCTGTAGCGGCGCAGTCGTCGCTGTTCTTCTCATTGATGAAAAAATAGTTTCGAAACGTAACGATCATCACTACGATTACTTCTACTTGTGCACGTCCAGAACTTTGGAAATTTCATCTGAAAAAGGAAACGATTTTACTGTGTTATCTGTATATTACAATCAGTCACAGAAGTCATCATGCAAACTTGAATTTTGACATTCATCAACGAGCGTCAACAATGGCCTGCATAAAATTAATCTTGTAATTACTGACGTCATTCAGGTTTTCACGAACTACAGAAACGTTTTACATTTTTTTTTTTTTTTTTTTTTTTCACTTCTTCTAAACTGGACAAATTCAAGTGATAGATAGCAAAGTCTCTAATTTTCCCTAAGAAGTGTGTGGACTTTATATCTCAATCCAAAAAGAAAGAAAAAAGAAACTCGACAAAAGCGAGAATTCAGATGGAAAAAATAACGAAAGAGACGAAAGAGAGAAGAACTCTCGGATAAAAAAAAAAAAAAGGGCAATCAATTAAACCAGACCGTGTTCGCTCTTTCTCCTGTTGGAGTGTTTGCATGGTCTCTCGAGTGGCCTCGGGCGAATTTCGTGGGGGTTTTTCCCCGTTTGCTTTCTTTCCATGGTTCACCCTCGTCTGGAAAGTGGCATGGCGAGCTGGCTGTTGTTTCTCATTTATCGCGATGTTATTTCAGCCGGTCTCTATCCCGCAATTACCTCGGCGTTCATCGAAAATGCACGATAATGAAATTGACTCCGTTCGCGCGTGTAGTTTTCTACCCTAACGAATCGGTTACACCGTACAGTTTCCGTGTTACGCTCGTTACAATGTGTTGTGTACAGTAATGTCTCGTAGTTTATACTAACAACAGAAAATAATACGGTTGATCGTTTAAAAATACATACGTAGACACAGCCGGTGTTTTCCTCTTATGCAGCTTCACTCTCGAGGAAAGTTTAACTTTCTCGTAAAGATGATCTTTACGGGAGGGAACACTAGGTGATCTAATGTTAAACAAATTAAAAACTTTAACGAGATATTACGTGTACAAAAATATATCTATATCTATGGGCATGCATTCACATTACCAGCATGAAACGATGTTATGCACTGGAGTAATTTTTAAATATCATTTAAATAATTCGAAAAGTAATCCTCTCGTAAAATATTTGCGATTTAATCTTTCAACAATGTAACGAACTGTGTGTAAAAGGAAAAAAGAAAAAGAAAACAGAATTTAGAATGACAAAGCGAAACGAATTGCGTTACGAGCGAAAGATTAAAAGTTTCCAACTTAGACTTAATTAATAACGCGTAGCTGTTTTTGTCCATCATTGAAACGGCCCCGTTCGCATTGATTTTTTCAGCAAGAGAGGATCAAGGAGCTGTTCGACTTGGCGGTGCAAAGGCAGACTAAGGAAATGACTGACAACATAAATGGTTATGGAATTGACAACCATTTAATGGGTCTTCGCTACGCCGCACAGGAAGCCGGAGAACCGATCCCGGATATTTTCACTGATCAGGCTTATAAGATCGTCAATCATTTCGCTCTTTCAACGTCACAGGTCAGTAATGACGATCAATGATAATTAATCAATAGCTGAGACATTCCATACATGTGTATATACATATGCCAGCTTCTCATTTCCCAACGCTTTAAAGTTGTCCTCGCGAGGTCATTACAAATGATGACTACGCAGATCCGTGACACCTTTGTCACCTTTGTCGAATTACAAGATGAAATCGATTATTCATTGTTGGCCATTGTGTTCAAAGCAAGCGCGAGATTATTTATATAATCATTTATCAATGTACTCCGAGCACAGTTACTCGACAGGCTTGATAATTTTAGCGAATTTGACAAATTATTAGTTACGAACTTTTGTTTCACTACTTTTGTTTACGCTCTTGTACATTTGTTTAAACTCTTTAAATCCTTGCAAGTAAATTGTTTCGATTCTACCTTCCTACTGGCAGTTTACTAATTAACATAATTACAATTGATCTGCAGCGTAACAGAGGAGGCTAAATTTGTTTTCCAGGTAACTTCGAAAAACGAAGCGATCATTGGATACGGCCCGGTGGTGCCAGACGGTTATGGTTGCGCTTACAACATGAGAAACAACGGCTTCATATTTTCCGTATCTGCTTTTCACAGCGACGGCAGAACGAACGCGACACGTTTCGCACAAACGCTCGAGCAAAGCTTGCGGGACATGGCGAGCATGCTAGACAGATCGAATCAGAGATAAACAGAGAGGCGACAAAGGCGTTAGAATCGCACAAAAAAAATGGAAAGTATTAAACTAGCAGTTAGAAATAATAATTATTTAACTCCCGAGTGTGGAAAATCATATCGAGGCGAAGTGTATTCGAGCTTGTCTGTGAAAGTATTTATCATAGTGTGGCGTAGCAAGCGAGATGATTACACGCTAGACCTAGTTCTATTCCTAGACTAGACCTAGGCTATTCATTGTAATTCGAGTTAACACGATTTACTAGATATCGCTGATTCGACATACTCTCTAAATTAATGAATAGAAAAATACCGACGCGAAGGTAAAACGAACCTTTTGTCAAAAAACTATCATCGTCCATCCACTAGGTCCATATTGAACAATCTCGTTCAATTTCTCGATGAACGCGCATCGCAGCTAACAATTTTAACATCGTCGTCGTGAACTGTAGCAGACGAATTTCCTTCACATTTCGCCGATATTTCGCGCTTCGTTCTTTTTGTTTTCGCGAATACCTATACATGTTCGTGATATGAATACATAATACGGCGAATGAAATTATTATAGATTGTGCCATTTGAAAGTTTCATTCAGTCCGTGATATTAATGTAAATCATCCATCATTTTTCTATTTTAACTTAAAAAACAGCCTGTCATCTCGATTTTAAGTTACTGTGATAATTTGTTTCCTTCCATTAACGGTGACATTGTTCCATCAGCATTCCTCTCGAACTTCCCATCGAATGGCACAATTTATTTTACACACAAGTACTATAAATTAGGAAATGAAAGGAGCCTTCTATTACGAGCAATACATAGAAATATCGCATTCGTCTTACTCGTTATTACAATTACTGGCGTAACGTACATATCTAAAAGAATCTGCATGATTGGTCATTTAATCGTTAAATAAACTTAAAGGAATCCTTCGTCAAATCGCTGGAACACTATAATCTCGTCTGTTGTTAAGAACGCGCGTACAACAAATGATTTATCTGATAATTGACGACCAAATCCGAACAAACTGAGACGAAAACGTTTAAACGGTAGTCGCTGCGTGTAGTAGGCAATATAGATCGATCGGTCATTGTAAAACTCTAGTCCTGTTACGAAAATCCTCGAACATTTATGTCCGAGCGCTGGAAGTTCCTTTCCTCCGGGAGCGAACACCTTCGTTGATTCCGTATCGCTTGACTTTTAATCGTGCATCAACGATTAACAGGAGGATAGTCTAATTATTTAGTTAGTAGCCTATATTGTTGAACTGTTGTCGGTGCTTTACGGGTTTTAATCGCCTGACTTTAAGTGTTCTATAGCGAAATGTGTAATCTCAAATGTACTAATCGGACTATTAGTTAGTGGTACGTATTTAGCAATGTTTAGCAAAGGAACGTTAGCACACGTTAGTATCGCGAAGAGATTCGACAGGTATGTTACGAAATTCAAAATAATTTACTAGCAATTCGACGATCAAACGAGATGTATCGATATGTTTGAAAGCAGTGACGTTTACTTTACATTGTTAGCTACACGAGCGTAGATTTTATTGTTAGTTGTTTCATTACGAAGTGTACATTTTATTGAATTTGTATGCGTGTAAAGGGCATCCGAAAGTGTAGTATTCTGTCTCGGCAGTGTTAAATACAAGATTCTATAATGTTGAAACAAAGCCGGAGGAACTATTCCGGCAGAAAGGACGTTTCCCATGAAACAGGATAATAATACGTGCCAATTGAACGATAACAAACTTTTTCTTAACTTTGGTATTGTAAGAAAATATTTATGCGATGTTCCTTCATACTGTTAAAGTGAATTAAAGTGAAAGCGTTTAAGAAATATTAAAAAAAATTTAAAGAATTTCTGAAATTCGTGAAAAATGCTTTCTAAGTGAAAATTACGAAATTTCAAATTGTTATCGGATGAAAATTTATTTATACGAGATAAAAATTATAAAAATTGCTGTCGAATGTGAAACACTAAGTACCAGTGATAAAAGGTATAAAGTTACATTATTTGCGTTTGTCAACTGAACTTGTGTTTAATATCCTTATAGCAGAGACAATGGAGAGACAGAATACACGAATAAAAGTTGAGGAACTAAATAACTCGATAAGGTAGAGAAAAGATTTCTAGCGCACGGACCTTGTCTGTCGCAACACATTCTAAACGCCAATCGTTCGTGTGTTGGCGCCCGCACAGTAAACTCTTGTCCAATTCTTAGGTAGGTCGATGGTTTGCCCTTCTTCGATAAACAGGCAAACGTTGACGATAGCTCTATCTCTCTATCACATTAATGTTCTACGTCTAATTAACTATTACTGTAACTAACGCTACTTTTCTTACGTACCAAGCTCTGTCGGTAGTGAAAAATTTAATGTTCATTTCAAAGAGTAGAAATATTAACAATCGGCGCTACTGTCACATCATTATTCTTCGCCCTATTGTATCAAATTACGATCACTTACCGTAATTTAGAATCAAAGAAAAATGTTATATATATATATATGTATGTATATGTATGTATATGTATGTATCTATATATATATATATATATATATATATATATATATATATATATATATATATATATATATATACACACACACACACACACATATATATATATATATATATATATATATATATATATATATATATATATATACACACACACACACACACGCCTATACATATGCATAGCGTAACACATGTTACATATTACGGCATATCTGTTAATATTATTCATATTTTACGAAGCTGTTCGTCAGCTTTGTTATAAACTACATACTTCCAATGTGCAAAACACGCGTGTTTTAGGGTTGTAATTGAGATTTAGCAAAGTTCTCTCACGCTAAAGCGTAAATGTTCTATTAAAAATAGAGTTTTATCTATGTATATTGTCGTTAAGTGATGAATTTGTTGCGTATTAGATTGAATCGGGAGTTTTATATTAACGGTCTAAGCAATTTTTTGCTTTGACTTAAATGTAGAGTGAATTTTTGAATAACACGAGGAATTGTGGTGGTTCCTTACTATACTGTTACTAAATAAAATTATATATAAATATTATGTATGACTATACACGTACATATACGCACATATCAAGGCACACGTTTTAATGTAAAAAAAAAAAAAATCTATATCTGTTTTCGCGCATACGTGTACGATATATGAAAGTGTTCTGTATTGTTTAATCTTAAGCTGCAAATATTTATTAAATTTAAGATGGAACGAGATATTATCCTTGAAAGTACTAATGCGAATCGCAAAATTATTGCGATCGTATCTTCGCGGCCAAGAATATCGCGCATATCAGGCGAAAGCCATCGTAGCGATGACTCTATCGAATAGAACATATCCTAAACTTATAGAATTACTTATGAAATAAAGTCAACTGAAATAAAATAACGTATATATAAAACTTCAGTCAGACATTATTTCAAATAAAAATATTGCTTGCAAAGACTGCTGTCGTTGATGTTAATCATAAATACGTCTTATAAAAAGTAATAAAGTGACAAACAAAATTTACAATGATAGATAGTAATTGCGAAATAATGGAGTTCTCCGTGAAACAGTCGTCTTCGTATGCAATATATCTAGTAAGTTAAACTTGTAAGCACACTTCACTTTCTGTTTATATGGAAAGTATACACAGCATACCTCTGTAATTAATTAATTTGCGGCAAGTATGTTGTATCATGTGTACGTTTTCTTGTGTAAGAATAAACACTATTATGACACCATTTTCTACTTTTATTTACGTCTTTCAACAATACAAGTGTTTAGTTCAATCACAGTACAATGCTCAACTAAAAAAGAAGCGAACAATTTATCTTCTATATTGCAAGTATCTTCCTCAAAGGTAGGAATGTTAAAAATTTACTTATGTCAACTAATAGTGCATCAAGTGCACTATATTTTATTAAATATTTTATAATATTAAAAATATAAGTTTCACGTTAAAAAATATCTTTGTTTCTAAAACATCTTTATCTTAATATTATTATACAGAATCATATTATTATCCAATATTTAGATGCTCGATTTTTGTACTTTTTCAAATGATAAAAATATAGAATACAATATAATCAACGAAACTAGTACGATAAAAGTATGTGAATAGTTAGTACATTTAACCTGATGCAGGCAATAATAATATTATAAGATACTTTATACTTTCAGATTGAAAGATTCTACATTCTTATTATGCTTATTGTCTCGGTACAGACAAGTCGGCGTTAACGTCTTCATATGTTTGTGTAAACGGTAGTGTAAGTAAAGCACTTGCCGTTAATCTTTTTTTTGGATCATGCTGTAAACATTTCTCTATGAAGTCAATACCTTCAATGGAAAGATTTTTTGGTAATGCTGGAGTTTCGCCCATTCCCACCTAAAAGAATTAATACATAAAACAGAATGCCCTAAAAAAGCATAGTTACTGCCACGTACCTTAAACATAATTTGGTAATTAGAATCATAATCTGACCAAGGTCTTCGTCCACTTGCCATTTCTATAACGCAGCAACCAACTGACCAAATATCAACAGCTCTACCATGACCATTGCTTTCTGATTTCATAAATACTTCTGGCGCCATGTAAGCTATGTACAAATACTAATTGTTAAATTATTTTTAAAGTATTTTTATATTTTTAAATTATTTTTAAATTTCAATATCATAAATATTAAAATAAGCTACAAACTTTTATCATTCAATGCAATTCATATCGATGTTATGATGATTATAAATAAACTAACCTTGTGTGCCAACAAAACCTTGTAATTCACCTGGCATAGTAGTATGTGCTTTAATTTGCACAGCACTTCCAAAATCACCAAGTTTTAAACAGTTACCTTCATCCGTTAAAAAAACATTTGCAGCTATATATAGAACATAAACGTTTCATTATTTACGTCAATAAATTATACACGTACAAGATAATATTATTATATATATTATATATTAATATTATTATTATTATATCAAAATATAACACGTACATTTAATATCGCGATGTACTACTCCATGCGAATGAAGTACTGCCACAGCTGAAAGAAGTTGATGTGTATATTTTCTAACCAATGACTCTGGTAAACCATTTCCACTACCCGCTACTAGACTTTCTAACGTTCCCTCGGCACAAAATTCCATAAAAATTAACATTTCTTCCTACAATCAATGTTATCCTAAGATCAATGTTATCAATATGTATTTCTAAAAATATGAATATTTCACTATAATACATTAACTTACACGATGAATTTCTAATCCATAATATCGTACTAAATGTTTGTGCTGAATTCCTTCAAATATTTGTAACTCTTCGGCAACGCGCCTAATTGCTCTATAATCTCCAGGTTGTAATTGAACTTCTTTCATGGCTAATAATTCACCAGTTTGATTATTGACTATGGTGTATACTTTACCAAATCTCCCTTGTCCTATAAGTAATGATTTTAATCTAAATAAAATATATATTAAAATAAAGATCAAAATAAATGTTAACATAAATTCATAATACTTACCTATTTTAATACCTCTTTGCCAAGTAAACGTAACTCTTCTCGCTTTAATACGAACTCTATCAACAGCTTTTCTGTCTATAACTTGTCCTATAAGTTCTCGGCTTTTTAATCTATCGTCAATATCACAGTCTACTTTTCTTATAGCGCGATTGATTCTTTCTTGCCTAGATAGAGTACGATCGGAACTACTTATACTACTACCTACACTTCCATCAACTACACTTGTTGAAAAAATTGTTTTAGAACTGACTGGAGTATCTGAAGATTTAATATTATCTTTAGACTTTTGAGAAACACTTAAACTTGCAGCTTTGCTTCTATGGGAAGGTGAAGATGCCCTTGAATGAGATAATCTTTTTAAATCTGAAATGAAATCAGCTAATCAATATCTGATTAAACAATAAGATTCAAACATAGAATAAAAATGAAACCTCACTTTCTGTTTCAACGTTTGTAACAGTATTTGCACTTCCAACAACATGTGAAATACAACGATCCATACAGGTTTTTAATTCCTCAAATTCTTTATCAGTTAAATGTTTGGTATTATGTGGTTCACATACTGTAATTAAAAATTCTAAACCTTGATTTGCCCATCTAGGTCTTAAACCTCTTCCACGTTCACAGCGTGTTCTAACAAATTCCATCCACAAAAAAGCGAAAGAAACTAAACTTCTAGCTAAAACAGCTTTTTCTTCAAATGCAAATAATTTACATATTTCTTTATGATAATCAAAGCCCATTCGGTAGGCCTGATGAAGTACTTCTCTTATTCTTGAACGCATAACAGATCGATCATACTCATAATTTGATTCTTCTACTTTTTTAAGATTATGTTGGAAATTTTCAATAACATTTGTAATATCAAGTCTGAGATCCATAACTGTATCCTAAACATATAAATAATATTTTTTTAAAGGTTATAAGTTTAATTTAATTTTTAATCATTCTTACTTTTAAGGCTGTCAATGACTTCTCTAACTCTTTGTTGAAAGTAGACCAACTTTCGATGTTACATTTTAAACACTTAGCAAGTGTAACACCTTTAACCACCTTTTCTCGAGCCTCTACAAACATTCCTTGCCACTCACGTCCTATAAACATTCTCTGAAATCTAAAGCAAATATCAGAATAACATAAAAACATTTATAAAAAAAACGAAGTATATTTTATCAGTTTTACCTATTTGACCATTCATCATCACTCCAATCCTCAAAAGTTTCCTTAATTTCACGTGGTCTCTCGTTAAGATATTCTTTAACTTGTTCAATCATGGTTTTTATGATTTCACTATAAAGTATAACATGGTAAAATATATACATTAAAAAAATACTCTAGTATAACTTACCAAAATTTAACTCCTGCAATCTCATATCCATTTAATATATTTCCTGCTATTGATTTTACAAACATCCATTCATCCATAATCAAATTTTTGTGGAAACTGTCGTGCTGTACCATATCAACCCATTGTTGTAGATAATCAAGATATACTTCGAAAACAGCTTTTAAACTTTCGTCAAAATCTTTCACATTTTCTTGAAATAAATTTTCGCAATTATCATTACTACTAGCAATTGCTGCGTCGGAATGAGCAGCAAATCTGTCACGATGAATACATGCAATTCTAAGACCTTCTCTAAGTTCTCGCATAAGTTGTCGAACTGATAATGGGCTAGGTTGTTCAGGTTTCTGTTCTAATCTCATTCTTAAAAATTCATGAACAACATCTAACGGAACTTGAGACAAAAATACAAAAGCAGCCCTAAAAAATGTTTTTACTAATTAATGTAAAAATTCGAAAATAAAAGATAAATAAAATACACGAATTTTCTACCTATAAGATGGAAGATTCAATTCTTTTGCTTCGGGACTCCATACACCATATCGTCGCAATTCTATGTCACCTTCATACTCCTCATTTAAAGTATTATCAGATTCACTTACATCACTTTTTTCTAATGTCAGTCTTGCTTTTCTTAGAACAGAAGTATGTAATCTCTCAAGAAAATTTAGACTTTTTCTTAAACCTCTAGTCTTCAATACATCTTCGATGTATTTCCTAAGAATTGAAGAAAAAGTAAAAAAAAAAAAATAATTAATATATTCATTAAATGTAAAAAGATTATTTTATTCTAATACAATGTAATACAATAATACAATGTTACCTGTATGCTTGCCGATCGAATTCAACTAAATAAAAGTCAAATCTATCGGTTTTGTCATCCTCTATGCATGTAAATGACGATTCAGGAGTAGAAGGCCAGGATTGTACAAAAGATAAACCAGAAGAGTTATTACTATTATTGCTATCTGAAGGACTGGAATTTTCATCTTGTTGGTTTGATATTTCAAATCGTACTAAAGTTTGCTTATGCTCCATAGAATCTGACGATCGTGAACTAAAATGAAAAAATATATTAAATTATAATATATTATCATATTTTATTGTAATAATACCGTTATTCCGAATACCTTATTCCAGAATCACCAGTATCATCATGTTTTTTTTTCGTATGCGACATCATTAACAATTTTCCCAATATTTGCAGTTTGAGTCGATGATGCTTAGTCATGTTATACCAAAGACACATTGCTTTTACTCTACCAGTAAATTCTGTACTTTTGTATAAAGGATAATGTGCAGCAAAGGCTTGTGACGAAGGATAAAGTGCTTCTGCTGCCTCTAATCTAGTCAGTAATCCTTCTACTTGCTGTAATGCTTCACCTTGAGCTCGTGCACATGCTCTACAATACATTGAAAGGCAACCTGGACAAACACTTAATTCTATATTTGGACTAGATCCTACATTTGCGATTCGATCCAGGTACGTAGTATTAACATTACTCCAAGATATATTATTCTTTAGACTTGCAATAGGATCATATCTAAAAATCAGTATTATTTTATTTCAGTTCTTTTCTGATTTTATAACTAAAAATTTATCTAAATTCTTACATAATTTACCTATACTCCATTATTTCTTTAAGTAAACCTTCCACAGCCTCGCGTTGTTTACATAGATACTCATCTTGAGCCATGGGACTCCTATCAGCGTGATGAGCTTGTAATTCTAGCCATACTAAATCTTTCAATTCGTTTTGCCATCGCGTTTCCTCATGACTCATTTGTCGGCGACAATTACGTTCCGTACTTCCCTATAAAATACAAAAAGACAACCTTAAAATTTTTAATAGAAATATATTTTTATTTGCAATACAATATTCACGTACCAACTTAATTAAGAATGAAAATGTATCATGAAATAGTTCCCGTTCTTTGAGACTCAGTGTTTTTGGTGATTCTACGATGCATGATTTCTTATCATCACTAATTACAACTTGTTCAGTAGGTTTAACTTCAGGTTTTTTTTCTTCTATATCAACAGGCTTTGATCGCAGACTGCGGAATCTATTTCGAGTTTCAATCTGTAAATACTTTTGATTAATTTTCACTTGGACGATAGTCAAACTCTTTAAGATCCAAGTACTACAAAATCATTTTGACGTTTATATTTATTTTATACCTTCATGTGATTAGGGGTACTTGATACTTGACAAAGATCAAACTTTTCGTTATAATTATAAGCTGCGTCTATATCCAGTTTTAAATCTCTTTCACTTCCACGCAATACCTTCAACGTTCTTTTACATTTTCGATTTCCTTCCTTTGCTATATCTTGATTTACTTCGTTTTCACAATCCTTATCTGCTTTGTCACACATTTCGTTGAAAATTATATTGTCTAAAGTATTGCGTCTGCGAATAGCAAACTTCGATGGTGTATCTTTTTCTAACGATTTTGTTTCCCTTAAAAATAATTAGATTTATGCAAAATTAAACATGATGTAATAAAATATAATAATAAAATATAATAAAATGTTTCTTAAAGAAAATAATATCAAAAGAAACATTTGAACAGGAAACTCGTATGATGGATTTCCCGCGTTATATGGGAATTCTTTATATTCAATTTACTTAAGCTCCCGCTAATGATTTTCGTCAAACACAGACAATAATTTCATTAAAAGTCGTTATATAATTTTGTTACATTAAATATTATTTCTTTCATATAACTGTTTACTCTTGACCATTATACATATAAACGCTGACTTACCCTCCACTGAGTTTTTGTTTCATATACCGTTTCTTACGACTGAGTCGGGTTCTCGGAGGTGTTTGCCCATAAATTTCACACATCGCTTGAAACGACTCATCGAATTCGCTAGTTGGAGTGCTTGAACCTATTTTACTGAAAAAACATGAACCATTAGGAGAAAATAATTTAATTTCCTAACTATTAAAATTCATTGCAACGTTGCAATCTATACTATAAAAAATATTCAATCAGTTTATTACAATATTTAACAACTTAATATTAATTTCATAATTAACATGATTTAGTCAGATACATATGTATGTAATATATGTAGAGATATTTAAGACAATATATAGTACATATACAATATCATAATAGCATCAAATTAACATTATTCATGCATGTATAAAATAATAAAATAATAAGGTTAAAACGTTAATTACGTACCAAACTAGATCCATGGTAAATATACACTTACTATTCTACGTATATCACAATTAAAAAAATTATAATCTTGTTATACAAAAAATGATACAATCACACACAGATATTAACAGTAGCATAATTAAATACATTTCAAGAAACTGTACACGTAGTATTGTTAATTTCGACTCGAATATGTATGTATTAATAAAACAATTGATTAAATACGCGAATACATGAAATAATGTGACCAATTTTACATTGGCTGTAGCAATTTCACAACATTCCATATAACAAATATGAACGTTAAAATAGCAAGTGTAATTGACAGAATTATTCGCATCGCACTAAACAAATATCTTGATCAACAATTACAATTACTTTTTTATACAACACCACTGATCGTTTTTAATAACGTTGACATTTTGCCATGAACAAGTGCCAAAGAATGAAATGTACCAATGTAATATTGATATGTGTCGTCATTCTGAAAACAACACTCGTTTAGATGATAAATGCATTCATTCTATTTTATCACGTTGTTCATTATACTAATGTACTGGCGATCCTACTAAAAATCGAAGGAATGCTGAATGACATGTAAACAAAACGTGGACATTACTCTAATTGAAATTCTTGCCGGTGGTGGTTTTCTATTACTACAAGTTGTACTACAATGTTGTGAGAGCAACATGTGACAAACTTACCTAACATAGCCATTATCATCGTCAGATGAACCTGAGAATGGATTCTCTCTAATATAATTTTGTTTACCACGATACATTCTTTTTGCATACGAAACGCATCACACCCGAGACAACGCTATACTCTTTCACTGCAAAACAGAGCGCAGGTGCAATAAACTTGCAGTGTTGCCATTGCAGTATAAACAGGTGTTTAAAAAAAAGCAACCAGCAGCGCGCGTAATTTTGAAACGTCTTGAACGTATATATATCATACATGCAACAAAAAAGTAAAACAAAATTAATGATCATTTTAAATCGCTCTAAATAAAAGGATCTGAAACCGTAAACTTTCATCTACATTGAAAAATTCTGAGAGAGATCTGAATTTGAAAGTAATTACGACTGGTTGAAGTGAAAAAATCGGAATATATTTAACATATATGATATGATTTTTTATTTAAACAATGTCTAACTTTTTCAGCAAAGTACAAGTAATTTTCGTATATCCTCGCACCAACAAATATTGTTCTCAATAAAATACAATGTCTATGCGTCTTTGTGGTCTTGTGTTTTATGTATGTCGTTTCAATTAATCAATAATACTGTTACAAATACTTTTTTCTCGATATAAAAATGGAAAATTCGAATACAGTTATTGAAAATTTAAGAAATATCATCGAGCATTGGGAATTATAAAAATTTGTAAGAAGTAGAAATGCATAATTTCCTGACATGCTTTTTTACTCGCTTGGATAAAATTATAGCACCGTGATATCTTGAACGTAGTGTGCACCGTTAAATTAATTTTCCTCAACAATCTCATGAAGGTCTCATAATACCAATTTACGTATAATATATATGTATTTATGTAAATTGATGTTATTGAATTATATTTCTCAGTTCATTTTTTTTTTAATTTACATATTAAGCTATGCAAAAGAACATTAAAGACGATTTTATATTCATTACCTTCATAAGGAATATGAAAATCATTTAGTAATCTACGTTAGGGTTATTTGTGGAGTTTTTATAGCAATAAACAAAAAATTGATGTTTTTTTTAAATATAGTTGTATTTAAGTACATTTTAGATATTAAAAAAAAATTCTTATTTGAAATTCAATATTTGCATAAATCTTGTAAATAAATGGAAAACCCCAACGTAGATAAAAAAAGGACATCTTACAAACGTTTTTTGGAATGTTTCAAGAGTAACTTTCTCGCTTGCGGCTAGAATATCCAGACGAGTTATTATGAAAATGATACTTGTCTTTAAACATTAGAGCATGACGTCACATTGTAGAAAATATTTAGTTATTGCTATGCACGTTTGATTGTTTTTAAGAATACAAACACACAACTATAAATTCCTTTGCTTCAATTCTCATTTAATATAGTTTTAATAATAATAACGCTACTGGATTGTAAATATTAATATTTATAATATTATAATAATAATAATAATAATAATAATAATAATAATAATATAACACTACTAATTTGTAAATTGTAGTATTAAATATAATCAAAAAATATTTATTGTTATTTTCCTGTACTTTTCCTTTCTGGTTCGGATGTAACATGTGATGATGATGATACACGTAAAATGAATTTCAATACAATGGTCAGCTTTTAAATTTTCCCATCATTTCATTTACTTCATTATTGCAAAAAATGTGTCATCTCACAATATCGCTCTTTGTTTGCATTCCGTCAAAAAATTGGCAGCATTTATAGGCTATATTCTCCCACATTTTAGTTAATTTTAATTAATTTTCATTGTTGTACCGTATAATTTTCTTTAAAAAGAGAACTGTTTTAAAATTTTTATGTGGCGTACCAGACAGCCACATATTATAGTTCTTCTAACATTCGACCTTTCATACGTATTATTTTTTATTGTAGCATTCTCGCTCACATTCATTCTTTCATACTTTCAAGAATCTTGATATACCTATTTCTTCATATAGGAACCGCGCAATTACCTTATGTTGAAGGTATGCAATACAAAGAGACGCGCGATATCCCTAAAATTCTATATATTATATTATTGATTAATTATTAATATCTAATATTTTAATATAAGTATATCAATAAAGGCCACGAGTGTGTTCAATATAAAATTATTAAACAGTAGTTGAAATTCGTTCGTACTAAAGTAGTATATATAATTTTTGCAAACAGTTTATATGACGTGCTTACATGTCTACATTTATTGTGAAGACGGATGTCGTTGATTTCGGTGTTTCATAAATTAAGCGGTCGCTTGTACATTATCAATCTATTTTAGGCTAATATTTAGAGATTACTTATAACTCACTAAAAAATAATGGTGACTGCTCCACACTGCTTTAAAATGCTTAATTCATCTATTACTCGGATTATATTTGTTAGTATATAATAGTAAAATGATACATGGGCATAAAACTGGAAACTGATATGTATATATAGATGTAGAGCGACCGCTATTGACAAAAGTAATCTTAATTCGTCAACAGAAGTAAATGATGACGCAAATAACAATACAAAATGTTTCTCGGGCAAATCCTTATCAAGGACGGACAAGACGCAACATGATAAGAACCGCGACGAGAAAATAATCACTGAAAAGAAGTCACATGTGTGGTATCACGCTTAGTGACCGACAGTAATACTTTGAAAAAGAAAATACTGATGCGCCGGTACTCAAGATCCTGTATATAATGCTTGGACAAAAATAAAATAATATTCACAAATTATGTAACATATTTTCTTGATATTTTAGCAAAAAAGGATATCGTTAGAAAAAAAACAACATTAGCTAGTAACATAGCTAAAATAACAAAGTTATTATGAATTAACGTTAAATATTTTATAGCTAAAACAGCAAGAAAATTTATACTTGTTATGGAAAAATATATAAACATTTTGCTTTACGAAAACTGCTTAACAGTGATAACGTGGAAGCATACATGGAAGACGGCGCAAGTTGGTCGCTCGTCGCGTTCCTTGCCAATTATGAGTTTATTTTTTCACTTAACTGTATCTGAGAGTATAGAATCGACTTCGAAAAATAGTAATATATATTATAAACTTTTCATCGCTGTAAATTGGGAGCGACTTATACCTCGAAACATCTCCAAAAAAATATTATAAAACAATATACTTGAAGTTTTACAAATTATCTTTGATCAATCAGAGAACCTTGTACGTCTCTTATATAGAATAAGTGATTATTGAGTGTTCCATGTGTACACGATATTGAAAGATAATTCAAAGGCAGGATGAAATGGGCAGGCAAACAGGCAAATGCATACATAATTTACATGTTCTCAAATTGATCAACACGACGCTTAGTATTGCCTTTGCGAATTTCACGGAGCGTTTTATATTTATCACGACCTTGTTTGACATTCTCCCTGTGTATTTTGTCCATAACAGTTTCTTTCGATTCATCGCGTGACTGTGCAAGATCTTGCTTCAATGCCTGAAACATTTAATTATTATTCAAATGCACCCAGAAAGCTTATTCAAGACACAATAGATTTATGTAAAAATAAAAATTGATACCTTAAGTTGATCGTGAAGGCGTTCATTTCTCTCTGCCAAGGTACGTCGCTCTTCAACAGGATCAATTATCGATTCATCAGTTGCAAGATCTTTAGTAACATCGCCATGTGAAACTTCGTCTTCTCCTTCCTCTTCACCTTCTTCATTTTCTTCAACATGATGATGATGCGGTGTTGTGCTAGCTTGATAAGCTCGATCAGCTTCTTCTTGCCTTAATCTATATACATAAATGTAGACTAGAATAGAGTTGCTTCTTTCTAATATTTTATAACGTAAAGGAACAAATTACATACTTAGCAGCTTCAAATACTTCTTCTAGTCTCCTTGCTTCAGCATCTTTCGCCACTACTTCAGATTGTATACGCTGTATTTCTTCTTGTTTAGCTCGTATTTCTTGTTCAAGTTTAGCACGTTCTGCCGCTTCCATTTCATGTGACAATTCAAGTTTCTCCATCATAGCCGTAAGTTCCTTCAGATAAAAATAAGACATGTAGAAATGTATGAAATCTAAAAATACTTGACTTTAAATCATACGTACTTTCTGACGATCTTCTAATTCCTCCTTTGCAGCTTGTAACTGCCTAAGATGTTCCTCTAAACGTCGAATCATTTCTTGAGCTTCGTTTAATTCAGCTTGCCGCCTGTCCATTTCCTCTGCCATATTTCGAAGCCTTTCTTCATATTCTTGTTGTTTTCTCTCAGCGCGTTCTCTTGCAGCTATTTCTAGTTGTAACTTTTCTCTCTGTTGTTGTTTTGCGATTTTCTCTTCCCTTGCTTGTGCCTTTCAATTATAAATATTTATTTTATAATTACAGAGTCTATTCATTATTTCTAACATCATTAATTTTAACTAATAAAGAAAGTTTTATAAAAAAAAAAAAAACCTTACCTTCATCTGCTGTACATCAATTGTATCTGGTTTACGTCTACGCATGTAGAGTTCATGATTGCCCATACACAGTGCTAAAATTCGCTTATTAATCTTAACTCTAGTCGCAAAAAAGACAAAATCAGGTGCCTTCTTGTCAATTGGTTTAATTATGAATTTCTTCTCATTGAATGAGATGTTTCTTATCTCAGACCATGGAAAACCAATTTTTGGCGTCAATTTGTCATCCTTTTCGTAAATATTCAAACCCAAAGCATCAACACCGAGCCACAGGTCTGTGCCTTTTTTATTACGAATTTCAAAATAATTCACTCCGTACATTTCCAAATCCTATGCAAAAAAAAAAAAAAAGAAACATGTATATATATTAACTAAATAACAATAGAGAAAAACTATTGAATAATTACCTGAGCGATTTTTAAGTATTCCATCATTGCATCTTCTCGTAACATTCCACGATGTTCTTGCCACCAGTTAGTGATCGAACTTTCCCATTCCTCTTTGCTCATTTTATGTTGATCCACGACTCGTTGTGGCAGCAAACGGTCATTTATCAAAAAACCAGCAGTATGCGTACCTTTCTGAAAATCTCCATGCTTCGCTTGGACTGCGTAAGATGCTAACAATACAGACGTTTCCGGGGGACAGTAAATTTCATCCGTCAGAATAGCGTTCTTTACCTAAATATAATTTTGAAAAATAGTATCTTTTCTTCATTTGGTTGATAAGTCGTTAATTATTGTATAACAATAATTTTCCGAAAATCTTACTGCAATCCTACAGTAATGAACATTAATCTGATTAAAAAAAAAAAATATATATATATATATATACATATATATAACGACAGTAATAAATTTTAGTCAATAAAAACGGAAGAAAAATGATTAAATTTACATAAAAACCATGCTGAATGTATTATATGATTGCATTCACGTTGATCTAGATTCATAGATTATCTACATGATAATATGCAGTTATGTACTCAACCTTGTTACGTTGTAATGCAATTCTGCTAACAATACGGAATAGTTGACCCTCTACAACGCCATGTAATTTAGAAGTTATATATGTGAATTGCTATGATAGTTGGAATTATTTAGCGAAATATTATAATACAAAATATCGTTTTTCTATGTTAAAAAAAAAAAAAGAAAGAAAGAGAAAGAAAGAACTAGCTCGTACATACTTGAAGATAAAAGAGACGCAACGTGATATCTTGAATCAATTCCTCGGCAACGTCCTCGGGATAGAACTTGGCACGGAACTTGAACTGCAGGGGAGTCTCTTTCTTGACTTCCTGGTTCATCACCTGATACGTTCGTAGATCAATTAGTGAACAAATAAATGATCGTCACAAGAAACATGAATATAAAAAAAAAAGTCCATAAAATCACCCCATCGTTCGAAAACGTGCAAAGTAGTGCCTCCCATCGGTATACATGATGGAATATAGTGGCATTTGCATGCAAAATAAAGGCTGACGAATTACTTGTAAGACGACAAATGACTTGTGAAATGAAATAAACCTTTATTTAAATCTTTTCTCTCTCAGTTGTCAATGAAAATTACTATGAACATCCAAGTAACGGATAAATACTTAACTTATGACATAATCGAATGGCAAAAACGATAACGTGACAATCGGTACGATTTATTCGTCATGTTCCAGCTAAGCATTGTGACACAATATATACAGGTATGAAAATAACTCGTTTTTGTCAAATGGACTTTCGATTTTACAATCGATAAGCCTGTTTTATTATGATCCAGAGTACTCTTGTCCGTGCATATGACCGTATACATATCGCTTCGCGATTTAACGATATTGCTTTTATTACTGGTTCAAAGAAAGATCCGGCATGGATCGCTGGAGATATTTTATTAATAAGAATGATCATTATGATGACGGTTTGATCGACATGATTATCTGTAGTCGCATAAGTATGCGAATATCTTATCACGAACATGTAAGGGAAAAAACGGAGGTTATACAATGAGAAATATATATATAGCTTTTCATACCAACGATTGATGTTAAATATTAACGAAAATTAGGAAATTTGTGAAATTATTTTCGCGACCTTATGTTTTGTTCTTTACTATCAATTATCAATATTAAACTCTGCAAGTATCTACTATATTTTCATTTTAACTGGAAACTAAATTTTAATCAATGTGGTTAGTTTGCATTATTGAAAATAATCAAGTATAACAAATTTAAGAAGAAAATTATCAGAATGAATATTTTATAATCTTATGATGAGGATATCTTTCTCATAAAGGTTTCCAGGTTTCCATATATCATGTCGCAATTTATACATACATATGTGTACGCGTTTTTTTATTTTAGATTGAAGGAACGATTTAAAGAAACGAACAAAATGACTTAATTATTGAAGCAGTGCTATTAAGTAATATGTTCGAATATTTATAGTATATAAAAACTGCATACTTTTTATAATCATTTTAATGAATTTTCTTTACGAAGAATTCGAACAGTTTATTGCTTCATGCGTGTTCCACGCAAAACCGCGGAGATCACCTGTTACATAAGATTATCCTTTAATAAGCAGTATGAAATATTCATTATTTAACTGGTAAAGCGGTTTAAATTAACTGTAATTAAAAGGAATAACAGAGAGACAAAATTCATACCGAAATGTCAAGCTTTGATGAATATGTATTTTAAAATCAACGAAATAAAATTAATTCCGGTTGAAATTTGAAAACCGAACAAATAGTATTATTTGACAAATCTACGATCTTTACTGCATAAATATTTTACAAAGGCTCACACCACTGTATACTTTAAAATGCGTTATGTTATATAAACGCTACTGAACTATGATCGTTTAATTACTATTATATCTGTAATATGTATGTACAAATGCTACTACTAAGATAATAATATCGGCGTTGTCATTAATGTTGTGTTCACTTTTACAATGTTCTCTTTCCCGTTTTCACAGAAACAACCGAGTAAACTGCTTCTCGATTGAAAGTTCTGATCAATTAATCATATCCTTGGCAATTTAAATTAATCGTCACGCGCTAATGAACAACCATCCCGATATTATACTTATATTCGAGAGTATCCGTCAAAAGTATAAAAGTATTCGTATTAAATATCTGAAAGTTTCGTTCGAGTATATAGTATATATAGTCGAGTATATAATATATATAGTATACAGTATATATAGTACATAGTATATATAGTCGAGTATATAATATATATAGTATACAGTATATATAGTATATAGTATATACAGTCGAGTATATAATATATATAGTATACAGTATATATTATATATAGTATATAGTATATATAGCATAATTCGAGTATAATATACGCACGCTGCCCGTTAATTGCTAATATTAATTTTCCTTGATTATGTATCCATATTTTTTTTTTTTTTTTTTTTATTCGGTAAATAATTATTCGAGCTGAGAGTAAAACGAGGAAAACGAACATGGTTCTCCAGTCATGCTCGACTCTCATAACACACGCTCGAGCGTTGCGAATGCGGAACCACATCCGCTGGATAGTTCACGTACGGAAGTGTCAATCGAATCCCTGGACACGGTTCGCCTTGACCACGGCTGACATCGCAGTTCAATGCCGACGCAACACACGGACTTTTTCATAATTATTATTGATATTTCGCAATGCACGGTTGCGTAATCTCGCGAACAGAAATCGACAAACAAAAAAGATAAATGGAGAGCCAACGTAATAGACGATTGAGAAGCGCGTGAATACTGCAGGTACAAGAAGCGTGTGAACTTCGACGGGGTTACACATCGACGACAACATATTCTTAATTTGACGTTGAACTCGGCAATGATTCACGTTGTGCTAATAATAGGAAGCAATGATCAAGACGAAAATAACAGTAAAATGATAGTGAAAATGTAATTGCGAGTAGCTAGCAGGTGGAAACTGCATTTCTCGGAGCGTTTTTTTTTTTTTTTTTTTTTGGAAAATTGTGGAAAAATTTTGCTGCGAAAACCAGTAATAATGATCGAGACTTACTAAACAATTTTTGTACTTTAAGAACTGTAGCTAGAATTTTTTCATAATGTAAATTGAAATTAGCTTGTAAATTAGTAATTTAAATTAGCTTGTAAATTAGTAATAAAAAAAATTATAACGTACGTGTTTTTTTTAAAACGAAGTAATAATTATAGATGCCAATACCAATGAACTATTTTATTTTCTACCAACCTAATAATCACGTCTTCCGTGGTTAATCATTAAATGCATTTCCTTGTTGCATTGTAACACATCATTTACTTTTGCATGGATTTACCGTTGCTCTTAGATATATAACATATGATCATGGCGTTTATTATTACCGAGCATTTATTACTAATTTCATAATATATCTGAAAGAGATTTCTTTCTCTGCGAATTACAGAAATTGGTATTAAACTATTAATTCATTCATTGAATTTTTATGTATGTAGATAGGTATTACCTAAAGATATAAAAACATATCAACATATAAATTTTATATATCAGATTATCCGAAGAAGTCATCATTATCCTTACAACGTATAACATATTTTGCATTCATAATTGCACTTCATCTATATGCAAAATAGCAAAGGACTATTGGAACTCAAAACTAAATGTAAAACGATTAAATTCCATTATTAACTTGATATACGTAAATTATACTACGGTTTTCATCAGCAATAGTAAAGATTTGAAGATTAATATTAATTGCTTCCGACGGAATTAAGCAACGCAAACAGAATAGATAATAAAATTGAAAAAAAAAAAAAAAAAAAAATAAGAAGCATAATGTTAATTCTTGAGGACGTTCACAAAGAAATCATTGCTAGCGATGATTGTTGATTTTGCATTCGATAACAAATCCTTCAGATGAATTGCGTGAAAAAAAAAGCAGTAATTGCAGTATTTGATTTGGATTGGAAGCGCCGAGATGTTGATCCTCGACTAACTATCAATAATTATTCCTATGAATAAATATGAGTCAATGCATTATATGTGTCTCGAGCATAATTTAATGAGTTTATCTCAATCGACGTTAGTTTATCAAGTCACATATCTTTTTTTTTAACAAAGGAAAACATTTCCCTTGGAAGACTAACTGAATTTCATTCCATTTAAAGTAAGATTAGTTTAGTAAGGTAGAAAATTTGACTCAAGAGGGAAATATGTTAAATGTGTGTTCTTAAACATGTTACGTGTACTTGGAAAATCTTTTCTCCACTCAAGAAAACATGAAACCCGTTAAAGTACATTGTTACTGCATAAAAGCAAACGTCTAGTGAAACTATGGGTTATCATTTAGTTCGAGGATTTTAATCTGGGCACCGGAACGATTATTTTTCGATTCACGTCTACGGGTTTAGAAAACTTTAATTACAGTCTTACGTGCCAGAATTTTCGAAGGCCACACGGAACCACCTGCAATTATTTGCAACATATACTTTCGTGAGCCACTATGAGCACGATGCGATTCTCTTCTATTTTTAATGTTCTAGTGTCACGTTGCTAGAATCATCGATATGTAAATTCGCGAGCTCGTTTAATCGTCAATTTGAAACAAATTGCGTACAAATTGCGAGAAATACTTCATTATGTGTAACACGGCGTTTCTTATAAATTATTTCGATATATATATATATATATAAAATTTAAATAAATAAATAATTAATATCTGACAAATCATAAAAATATTGGTATTTTATATATAATAGTTGCTTTACGATCAGGAATTATTGGATCATCATTTAGAATGTTAATTCGAATAGAACTTAATAGACCTGGAATATGAATTAATAAAGATCAAATTTATAATTCTATTATTACTAGTCATGCTTCTTTAATAATTTTTTTTATAGTTGTACCATTTATAATTGGAGGATTTGGAAATTTTTTAATTCCGTTAATATTAGGATCTCCTGATATAGCATTTCCACGAATAAATAATATCAGATTTTGATTACTTCCACCATCTTTATTTTTATTGTTATTAAATAATTTATTTTTATTTTAAATTCAGGAACTGGATGAACTATTTATCCTCCATTATCATCATATTTATATCATTCGTCTCCATCTGTTGATTTTACAATTTTTTTCAATTCATATAACGGAATTTCATCAATTTTAAGATCTAATATATATATATGATAGGATAATATATATATATATGGTTTCCAAAACATGCCTCTCCGTTCTGAATCGAAAAAAAACGCCATTGTACGATAGACATTAGAAACGTGCACCAAGGACATCGATAAATCGTACTAGTCATGATTTGAAAACGTTGTGCG